AATACCTGGGATAAGGCGGAGGACAGAACTGATTCTTGAGTTGTCCTCTGACTACCACACGTGCACTGTGGTGTTTGTAAACATATACATACAATATATCAAAATAAGTGCAAAAAGTTTAAAATCACCAGTCATTTTATCCATGGGGCTAATTGGATGGAACTTCAGAATTGACATGTGTAGACTGGAAGCCAGCCTGGCCTACACAGAGAAACCATGTTTCAAAAAAACTAAAAACAAACAAACAAATTAAAAACACCCCCCCCCCCCCAACACACAGTGCAGGACTGTAGGACTGAGGCCATATGGCTGACATCTTGAGTCCCTTGCATGACTAGATGAAGGGTGTAGAATGCTGTCCCCCACCTCCCAAAGTGACTGGTAAGCATCAAGAATGCTGATTTTACTGTTTGTACCATGAATTTGCTCTTTATCCAGAGTTTAGCCTCTGGGAACTGTGGCTTCTTCATCTCTAGGATTGGGCTCATCATTCTACCTGAGCCCCAGAGAGGGGTGGGAAGGGTGTCTGCCTAATTGGAAGCACAGCTTTTGTGCATGGCTTCTGAGGGAGGTTAGAGGTCTGATTACTGCTGGGCACACGCCTGGAATCCTAACATTTTAGAAGGATTTGGAGTATTAGTTCAGCCTGGGTGACATAGTGGGACCCTCTTGAGACACACGCCCACACACATACAAAGAGAAGCAGGGAGGGAGGGACGAGGGAGAGGACATGATCGCCAATGGTGCCTGGAAACATCCCAGGCTCTTTGGGAGGGCCTGGGCCAGGCCTCTTGCTTGGTGGGCTGCAGGTAGGGCGAGGCAGGCAGGACAACACAGAGAGCTACCTGGCTGAGTGTTGAGCACTCTGTGTGTGGCTCAGGCACAAGAGTAAGAAGAAGGCCTTTACCAAAGCCTGCAAGAGGTGGCGAGACTCCCACGGCAAGAAGCAGATCCAGAAGGACTTTGCGGCCCTGAAGAAGTACTGCAAGGTCATTCGGGTCATTGTCCACACTCAGGTCAGTCCAGCCCCCACTTCCAGCCCATCCCCTACCTCCAAATAAAGAACCCTGACAAATGTCAGCTTAAAAATAGCACCAGCCCTGGGCACAGGCTCAAGATCTGGCCTGCTACCTCACTAGCCACTCTTGTCCCAGAGTTGAGAGGTCACTGGCATGTGATGTTCTATGCCACTGTCATCGATGGCTATCGTGCCCCATGGACGACAGGTGCCCCACTGTCCTGAAAGGCTTGCGTCTTCAGTCAAAGGTCTAGCACGGAGAACTGGCTGCACCTGGGGTCCAGCTTGATGCTGACTGAAATTTAACCAGAACACTCGCTCTGGAATTTTCATACGCGTCTTATCTTCAAAGAAGTATTCCCCGGCAGCAACCCTATCCCCACCCCTCCTGGGCACCTCTCCTGCTCTGTGAATGCAGGCTTTTGTTCGCTTTCACACCTGCAGCTCCTGGGGAAGCAAGTCAGGGCTTGATGTTTGCCAATTTGCCCTCTGGGACCATGGAGGCAAGGGTCACACTCATCTAATTCCCCCATGAACCCCAGGACATATAGTATTCATGATAGCCTGATATACAGTAGGAGCTCTATAAATACTATGCTGTGACCTAACAGGTATGTTTACACTTGTATATCCTCTTAGCATATGAAGCTCACAGCAGCCAGGGCCTTGCCGAATGGTATAGTTGACCACCTACACTTGGAAGGAAGTTGGAGCCCACTCCTACATCTGCCTGTCTCTGGCAGCCTCCTGCTCCCATCTGGCCAGATGGTCCCAGCAACTTTCCAAGATCTTTCCTAACACAGCACCTTTCTGCATGCTGCTTGCGTCCTCATAAACTCACGTGGAGTTCTCTGTAGTGACTTTTTGCTGTTATTGGTCACTTCCTCAGAGAGGCCCTACCTGACCACTCTACCTGAGTTTACCAGAACACTGAGCCCCCGCCAAGAGTTTACTTGGCTTTAATCTGTCCTGAAAGGAGATGGTGGGACTCCCTGAGATACAGGATGCTGCCTGCCTCAATCTGTGGTGTACCTCCAGCACCCAGCGCATGGCAGGAGCACAATAATGTCTGAATAAACACAAAGGGGAAAGACTTCGGGTTATCAGCAGGCTAACCATCTGCCGTGTGGGGGGCTTGTGAACTGAACTTCCCGCTGTGTCTGCAGATGAAGCTGCTGCCCTTTCGGCAGAAGAAGGCCCACATCATGGAGATTCAGCTGAATGGTGGTACTGTGGCTGAGAAGGTGGCTTGGGCTCAGGCACGGCTGGAGAAGCAGGTGCCTGTACACAGTGTGTTCAGCCAGAGTGAGGTCATTGATGTCATTGCTGTCACGAAGGGCCGGGGTGTTAAAGGTAAGGCCTGGTAGAGACGGTAGCTCCAGAGAAGAGTGTTTAGTGGGGGCCAGAGTGGCCACTTAGCCTCCGGCCCTTCCTATCTACAGGGGTCACTAGCCGCTGGCATACCAAAAAGCTGCCGAGGAAGACCCACAAAGGCCTGCGCAAGGTGGCCTGCATTGGTGCCTGGCACCCTGCCCGAGTAGGCTGCTCCATCGCCCGGGCTGGACAGAAGGGTTACCACCACCGTACAGAGCTGAACAAGAAGGTGTGTCCATAGCTCTGAGGGGTGTCTAGTGGGACAACACAATTCAAACTCTGATTGGGTTCATGAAATATCATTACTAGTTCCAGAGTCTGAGCATGCGTGCTTGGGGGTGTGTGTGGCCATGTTGCTAGCCCAAAATCCACCTCTAGTCCCTACTGCTGTTTTCCTGGCAGATCTACCGAATTGGCAGGGGGCTGCACATGGAAGATGGGAAGATGGTCAAAAACAATGCGTCCACCAGCTATGATATCACTGACAAGTCTATCACGCCCCTGGTGAGGCTGGCAAAGGGATCTAATGGGGGCTGGGGGATATACCCGAGGTGGGTGCTTCCCTGCCCGGAGAGTTCCATTATGTAAGCTCTGCAACAGGATATAGGCCCCCACACAGACTAGGCCTAGGGCCTTGGCAGGAAGTCAGTGATGGGAGGCCTGATATGCCAGTGAGCAACCACTTGGAAGCCCCAATCCCTGTTTGTTCCCACACCCTTTATACCTGCTGAGAGGAGAAATGCATACAGCAGTTCCTGCGGTGGCCTAGGAACCAGCTCTGAACTAGAGGGAAACAGCCATGGAGCCTAAGCATGTGACTGCATTTCATGTAGCCGCATGTTGATCTCCAACTCCCTATATAGCTGAGGGTGACCTTGAAATGCTGACCCTCCTGTTTCTACCTTTTTCTGAGTGCTGAGAGCATGTGGCCACACACCCTGTTTATCCCTCTCTGTAGCCCTGGCTGCCCTGGAACTTGCTCTGTAGACCAGGGGCCTTAAACTCTAAGATCCTCCTGCCTCCTCCCAAGTTCTGAGATTAAAGGCATGTTCCACCATGCCCAATTAACACCTTATTTTTTCAATGTGGTGCCCAGGATCGAACACAGGGCCTTGTGAACACTAAGCTGCATTCTTCCAACTGAGCTACAGAGCCAGGGACTCACTGTTATGCAGACTGGCCTTAAGTGATCCTGCTGTATCAGCCTCTCAAGTGCTAGATTTATAGGTGTATACTACTGTGCTCAGCATCCCCAAACTTCTGAGCTTCAGTGTCCCCCGCAAAAAGGCATGTTACTGTTAAGTGAGATAAGACAGGAAGAATACTAAGAACGGGGCTCAAATGCTGTTGCCCTGAGGAGTGGTTCAGTGTGAGGTACCCCGGGGTCTGAGCACGGGGCTCCTACACATCAGTCGCCTAACCTGTCTGCCTTGTACCTGCTTTGTGTGATCTGTGTCCCTGCAGGGTGGCTTCCCCCACTATGGGGAAGTGAACAATGACTTTGTCATGTTAAAGGGCTGCATTGCAGGCACCAAGAAGCGGGTGATCACACTGAGGAAGGTAAGTGCAGCATGGCAAGCGGGGTCGTGGGCTCTATCCAGTAGCCTGTTCTGTCCTGTAGCCTGCTTTGCGGTGGGTTGGGGTGGTGGGAGAGTGAAAGAAGGGGTCTGGCAGTGGCAGGTGATGGACTGAGTCCTTCTTGGTGTGGAGCGGAGGTACGGGGGAGTTGGGGCTCTCCATCCTTGACGTCTCTCTTGGATCCCCAGTCCCTCCTAGTGTACCACAGCCGCCGAGCTCTGGAGAATATCGAACTCAAGTTCATTGACACCACCTCCAAGTTTGGCCACGGACGCTTCCAAACAGCGCAGGAGAAGAGAGCCTTCATGGTGAGCTGGTCCCTAAACTCCACACTCCGCTTGTTTCGGAGAGGAGCTGGGAGAAGGGCGCTTTTAGGGGTCTAGCAGAGAGGCCCTCGGTAGCCTTGGTCGTAGACAGTATTTCTTGATTGATTCTCATGACTAACACTCCTCCTGTCCCCCCACCTGAACCAGGGCCCACAAAAGAAGCATCTGGAGAAAGAGAAGCCGGAGACCTCGGGAAACATATAAGATGCCTGGAATGGAGCACACTTGGGAGTGCTTCTGCTGCGCGTCCTGTCGTTTTTATCTAATAAAGTCCTGAGGCACCTCTTAAGCCTGGGTCAGAGGGTTGCAGGGTGGTGGTGGTGGTGGTGGCGCCAAAAGGCGGGCCGACGTCTCAAGGCGCAAGGTTTACGGCCAGATTACGGCGGACTAGGCATGCTCCAGTCCCGAGCCATGACCACTGGGGTCCTGAGGTCTAGCAGTTGTACTGGAGCTCTGCCTGAGCCCCGGCTTCCGCTGAAGGAGAGGGGCTCCACGGAAGAGTCTCTCCGGGCGGGGCCTCCTGGAGGCGGAAGTGGGAACCTGGTTCCTGGGAGGGATTGGTTGGACGGGTGGGGTTTAGGACCTACCGGAGGAAAGACAGACAGGTCGAGGGTGGGGCTTCTAGGAGGCGGGTAGTGGGAAATCCTGGAGTGATTCTTATCTAGGGGCGGGACTTAGAGCAAACCACTACGTGATTGGTCATTAGGAAGGGGGCGGGCTTGCGTCTAGAGCCGAGGGATTTCGTGTCCTGGAGGAGTGCTTTGGCTTGTCCCATTGCGGCCATGTCGTTCTGCAGCTTCTTCGGGGGCGAGGTTTTTCAGAATCACTTCGAGCCAGGTACAGCCTGTGGCATTAAAGCAGGCATCGCCTTCTGGATGGTGGTGGAGTCCCCGAGCCAGGATGGGGCGACCGTGGCTGCTGAGGAGAAGCGAGCTTGGGAAAGAACAACTAGGAGAAGGGGCTGGCGAGGGCTGGAGCAGGAGGATTGAGAGGAGAGGGGGCATTCCAGTGTTATCTGTTTTCCTGGGGGCAGGCCTTGAACATCAGTGTAGATCTCACTGGGGATCCTCCGGGCCGAGTGCTTTGGGGTGGTACTATCCGTATGGTTTCAGAGTGGTCGGGACTTGGGAACGGAACGACGTGGGTATGTAGTCCAAGGTCCGCGTTGGAGTTTGTCCTGATTGTGTGTTCCTTCCCGGACTCGTTCGGCACTTTCCATTCAGTCCTGAATGTGCCGACCCGGGTGTCTCCCTGTCCTCTCTGTTAGCTGTCAGTGAAGTGTAACCCGTTCAGCCTGGGCGCAGTAGCCCCAGGCTGGGAGAGACTGGCGAGTCCCCTGCTTACCGGGTTCTGCTGTTGCGGGACTAATTTGGTAAAACTATGGCATTGGCATTCCTGGGGCGGGATTTGTTGGATGTCTGCTCTCTTGAGGGCTGAGCTGTGACATCTGTATATTATTATACTGGGCATCTGTATAAGCCAGCTGTAATACAGGGTCACTCCCTTGAGTCCGTCTTGGCGGCAGCACTCCAGATGCTCCCAGGCTGCCTTGGCAAGCTGAATACTCCACTATGTTTTGCGTCCACAGTTCACACCTCTCAGGGTGGGTGGTGGGTGATTCAGTACCCTGCAACTTCCCATTTTTTTAGTCTTTCAAGTAGTTATGCAATTCAGTTTTGTAACCTTAAAAACTCCTTCCACTCAGGTGATCTTTTGGGGACAGGTTGAAACCTTTCTTCTGAGCAGTTGTTTTTCTGGGGTTCCCTGTTTGGCTTGGAAGACTGTTCCCTAAGGCCAGTCTATTCCTGCTCAGAGAGCAGGCCCATGGCTGGGTATCCAGTTTAAAACTTTGTTGAATAGCAGAGGTGCCCACTGGAGGAGAGAGGAGACCAAATGGTTACATTGGCAGTGTTTGGGGCCCCGCTGTGTGGATCTTGTCCAGGGGTAAAAGAAGGCTATCATCAGGTATTTAGGGTTCTCTCTTGACCACATACCTTATTGTGTGTCCACAACATCAGCTTTCCACCTTCTTGCCCATAAATGGATATGTTAGCCAAGTATGGTTCACATCTGTAATCCCAGGGTATAGGAAGCTCAGGCAGAAGCATTGCCTTTATTTATTTATTTATTTATTTATTTTTTAGTTTCTCGAGACAGGGTTTCTCTGTAGCTTTGGAACCTGTCCTGGAACTCACTCTGTAGGCCTCAAACTCACAGACATCCACGTGTCTCTGCCTCCTGAGTGCTGAGATTAAAGGAGTTCACCATTACCACCCAGGGCATTGCCTTAGATATGAGGCCAGCCTGGATTACAGAGTTTCAGGCTAGCCTGGGCTACAGTGTGAGACGTGACCTAGTTTGTGTCTCTGTTGTGATAGCTCACTGGCCAAAACCTGTCCGGGGAGGAAAGAGTTTATTTCAGTTTGCAAGTCACTGTCCATCATTGAGGGAAGCCAAGTGAGGAACGTGGAGGCAGGAACTTAGCAGAGACCATAGAGAAGTGCTGCTTCTTCCTGGTTTGCTGCCCTAGCTTGCTCAGCTTCCTTCCTTCCTTTTCTTTCTTTTTTTTCTTTTTTCTTTTCTTTTCTTTTCTTTCTTTTTTTTTAGTTTTCCGAGACAGGGTTTCTCCGTGTGGCCTTGGTTGTCCTGAAACTTGCCTTGAACTCAGAGATCTTCCTGCCTCTGCCTCTCCAGTACTGGGGTTAAAAGTGTGCACCACCACACCTGGCTCAGCTACCTTTCTTCTATAGATAGTCTAGACACACAGTGAGCTGGGCCCTCCCACAGCCATCATTCATCAAGGAAATGCCCCCATAGACAGCCCACAGACCAGTTTGATCAGGTAAGGCCTCGTCTGGAGTCCTCTTCCTGGGCAACTCCAGTTTGTTGTTCAAGTTAACAGAAACTGACGTCACAAGATGTTGTCTCAGAACAAACAAAACAAACCCCCAAGGAGGCTGCAAACGGCTCAGTGGTAAGGGTCTCGGTTTTATTCCCACATGATGGTTCACTCCAGTCTCAGGGAATCTGACCCTTTATTCTGGTCTCTTCCAGTGTCTGTGGGCACTGCACACATGTGGTACATGCAGGCAAAACATACATCGACGTACATGCAGGCAAAACAGCCATATGCATAAAAATAAAGTCTTTTAAAACATCCAAAACTAAATAATTAAATTAAAAGGTTAAAGATTTCAGCACAGGGCCACTGAGAATAGCAGAAATGAGCCCAGAGAGTGATTCCTCATCTCCTGTGACTCAGCCAGGCCTCGCTGGGTCTCCCAGAGCCAATCAATGGGCATGAGCAGGGGTACACGGGGATGGTGTGTTCTACCACCACGATGGGACCGTGCTAGTGTGGTCGTTTCCTGGGAAACTGTACAGACAGATGGAGCTGACGGGTGACTCTGCGCTTGCCCTTCCTCTGCTGCAGGCGTCTATGTGTGCGCCAAGTGTGGCTATGAGCTCTTCTCCAGTCGCTCCAAGTATGCACACTCTTCCCCATGGCCAGCGTTCACTGAAACCGTCTATGCAGACAGTGTAACCAAGCGCCCTGAGAAGAACCGACCCGAAGCTTTAAAGGTGGGTGTGATAGTCCTGGTGAGTGCCAGCCAGGGAGGGTCTTGGAACCAGTTACACTTTTCTTCCTTTGCTCCCTCATGAGGCTATTCCAGGTCTAAGATTTTTTGTTGTTTGAGACATGGGTTTCTCTGTGTAGCCCTGGCTGTCCTGCTCTCTAGAGCAGGCTGGCCTCAAACTCAGCGATCCATCTGCCCCTGCCTCCTGAGCTGGGACTAAAGTTGCCACACGTGGATTTCGAGAGTGCTTGTAATCTGAGGGAGTGCGAGCATTAGGATAGCTTCCTTGCTTCCTTGCACAGGCCCCACCCCTCAGAGCTATAGTTAGCTTGGGAAATGGGCAGATGGTGGAAGCATTATCTATCTGCAGCAGGCAGGCGACTAACTGTGTTTGGGTTTTCCCAGGTGTCCTGTGGTAAGTGTGGCAATGGGTTGGGCCACGAGTTCCTGAATGATGGCCCCAAGCGAGGACAGTCCCGATTCTGAATATTTAGCAGCTCGTTGAAGTTCATTCCTAAAGGTGAGCACCTTTAGCAGCGGGGACATCCTGTTGTCACTGAGGAAAATGTATCAGGGAGGTACGCGGTGGAGGTTGCAAAATTCACCCACCAATGGCACCTCAAAAACTGGCAGAAGGTCAGGACTAGGAGGCTAACATCTACGGTGTCTCATATGGGTCCATCTCAGGGAGAGCGTGGCGTGAGGATCTCTCTGTAGGCCTGGCCTTTCCTGTGCCTGGAATCTTCGGTTGATTGTAGGGGTGGGTGAAGGCTGAGGACCTGGGTGGGCCATGTGACCAAAGGCTTGCTTCTGAACCTGAGTGCCTGTCATTCTTCTGCATAGTGGCCATGGTAGCATGTTTTCTATCCCCAGACTGCTGGGACAACTGAATGTGATATGGTACCCCTAGGGCCAAGCACATAGTAACAACTCAATAAAACTGCTTCTTTATCAACCTTTTTAGTAGTGGTCAAAGGCCAGACCCTTTATCCAGTTTCTTGATCTGCAAAATAGAGCTATCGAATAACAGCTGACATTCTTCACAGTGGGATTAGTGAGCAGTCTGGAAGGCCTGGGGCAGCTGACATTTTTCACAGTGGGGTTAGTGAGCAGTCTGGAAGGCCTGGGGCGCATTGAGCTATGGTGATATTTGTGTCCTGTTGTGCTTCTTTGTTCTCTGTGTCTGGTGAAGGAAGAAGAGACTGTATGTTCTGTAGATCTCAGGAAATGAACAATGTGCACACTCCTTTGAACTGGCTCCCTGGGCCTTCCAACTGGCTTGGAGTCTGCTGACTCATGTTTGATCTTAGTACTTTTCAGAAAAACTACATTTTCCTCCACTTACTTATTTGTGTGTGTGTGTGTTTAATCCAGGAACTTGCTCTGTGGAGCAGGCTGGCCTTGAACTCAGAGATCAGCGCCACCTGCTTCTGCCTCCCAAGTACTGGGAAGGCATGTGCTCTTTTTTTACTTTTATATTATGTATATGGGTATTTTGCCTGCATGTATTTCTATGTACCGTGTGTGTGCAGTGCCGGAGGAGCCAGAAGAAGGCATTGGATCCTGGGATGGTGTTAGCCGCCATGTGGGTGCTGGGGATGGATCCTGGGTCCTCTGGATGAGCAGCCCATCTCTCCAGCTCCCTGCCACAGATACATTTTAGTTTATTTACTTAGTGTACTTGTGGGTATGTACATGCCAGTGCACGCATAGCCGTCAGAGGATAGATATGGGAATTGGTTCTCAGCCTTCGACCTTCACCTGGGTGTCAAGTTCAGGTTCTTAGGTGTGGATAGCAGGTGCCTTTACCCACTGAGCTGTCTATCCCTGGCTTTAGGTTTTTGTTTTACAAGACAGGATTTTGTGCTGGGCGGTGGCAGCACACACATTTAATCCCAGCACTTGGGAGGCAGAGGCAGGCAGATCTCTGTGAGTTCTAGGTTAGCCTGGTCTACAGAGCTAGTTCCAGGACAGTCAGGACTGTTTCACAGAGAAAACAAACAAACAAACAAACACAGGGTCTTGCTATATAGCCCTGGCAGTCCTTGAGCTCACATAGATCTACTGCCTCAGTCTCCTAATAGGTTATAGTATTTTGAGATAGGTGTCCACTGTGGCCCATAGTGGCCTGGAATTTACCATACAGCCCTTCCTGACCATGCTTCCTGAACCTCCTATCTCTGGAATGCTGGGCTTGCAGCTAGGAACCATCCTACCCAGATGAAGCACAACTTAACAAGGATGTGTTTTCTCTCCTCTCTTTTCCAGGCGGAGAAACTCCTGCTCCCCAGGAGCACAAGGTGAGCAGCTGTCCTTCCAGACGGGCATGCCCACTGTCAAGCAGCCCCAGTTTAGTGTTGGAACCCTGGACATTCAGACTGGGAGGTTGGGAGGAGGTGGTTGAAGCATCAGGAAGGCTCCCAGTGCCTTTGCTCTGAGTGAAATCACCTTAGATGGAGCACGTTTGGTCCTGGGGATGGTATTAAGCCATTAGCTGTTTTGAGTCTGTAAGAGACTCTGGGTTTAGTTCATCTTTGGATGACATTGTACCCTGTAGGCAGAGACTGCTCTTTTGTTTTCCTGCCACCCAGACCCGAATAATCACACAGAAACTATATTAATTACAACACTGTTTGACCTATTAGCTCAGGCTTCTTATTGGCTAGCTCTATATCTTAAAATAACCCATTTCTATTATTCTGTGTATTGCCATGAGGCTGTGGCTTACCAGGTAAGGTTTTGGTGACTGTCTTCTTCGACAGCCTCATGGCATCTCTCTGACTCCGTCTACTTTCTCTATATATCTCTGTTCAGATTTCCTGCCTGACTTTGCTCTGCTAAGTCATTGGCTGGAACATTTTTATTCATCAACCAATAAAAGCAACACATATACAGAAGGACATCCAACATCATCTCCCCCTTTCTGTCTAAATAAAAGGGAAGGTTTTAACTTTAACATGGTAAAATTGTACATAACAAAACAGGTATCAAGCAAGAATTACAGTTAAAATATTTAGTCTATTTGTATCTGGCAAAATTAAATATTCTATCATCTATTTTATCTTTGTGAGTCTAAAGTTTCATATCTAATTTATCTTTTATCATAACTAAGAAAAACTATAACTATCTGTTTTCAACTCCTCAAAGACTCCAGAAGGATATAATATTACTTAAGTAAACAGGAAGTTCATTGTAAGCAACTTCCAAAGTTCTAGAATTGATTGAGATATCTTGCTGCCTGGACAATCACCCAAAGTTCTTCTATAATGTTGGGGCATCCAGCCTATAGGCCCATAGTATTTGGCAGACTGTTCCATGAAGCAGGAAATTTGAAAGTTTGTTTCACCTATCTTGGCAGTTTTTCAGTCACTTTCTTCTGTATCCTGCAGAATGTCTGGCAGTTTCTTCTGTGAAACAGGAACCCTGAAGAAAAGTCAAGAAAATTCTGAGTTCTTTTTTTTTTTTTTTTTTGAGACAAGGTTTCTCTGTAGCTTTGGTGCCTATCCTGGAACTAGCTCTTGTAGACCAGGCTGGCCTTGAACTCACAGAGCTCTGCCTGCCTCTGCCTCCCAAGTGCTAGGATTAAAGGCGTGCACCACCACCGCCCAGCAAATGACTATCTATTAATCCATAATTTTAATTTTACATTAATTTTTAAATGAACTGCACAAACATAATACCTTAAATAAGACTAAAAAATATATATACATATACAGTGTAACAAAATCAACCTTAAATTTGTATTAACAGACCAAAGTCCATACAATACAACGTATTCAATTTTTTGTTTTTGTTTTTTGATACAGGGTTTCTCTGTAGCTTTGGAGCCTGTCCTGGAACTAGCTCTTGTAGACCAGGCTGGCGTCAAACTCACAGAAATCCGCTTGCCTCTGCCTTCTGAGTTCTGGGATTAAAGGCATGCACCACCACTGCCTGGCTCTTTACTCCTTTAATCTGTGACTGTCTGCATTTTTTTATATTACTTTTACTGTCTCTTTAAAGACTTTGTTATATTTTTAAAACTATTTCTTTTTATAATTGTCTGTACTCTTTTTCTTCTCTCTCCCAAGCCCATGTACATTTATCTAACACTGTGACGCATTCAGAGGTTTATTTTTGTCTGAATCTGTCTTTATGCTTATCTGTAATCATTTTCTGACCAGAGGTGCCTTCTTTTTTGTTTTTAAATGCTAAGTGGGCATGGCTAGGGCCAATTCAGTGGCCTTGCCTATTGGTCCTGCTCAGTCCAACAAGGCAGAGGCATGTACACCACCTCTGTGAGCCATGCTCACTACCCCAGCTCCAGGGACACAGCAGGTCTCTGTCACTATTAAGCGACTAGTATCATGCTGCTCACAGACCCCATTTATGTGTAGGACCTCCCGAAAGAGCCAGAGGTACAAACCAGAAAGCCCATTCCTAAAGAAGTTTTTGCTGCTAATGCTGAGTCAGGAAACCTCTTAAAGGAGCTGTTCTCTGCTTGCCACCAGCAAACAGAGCCCACCTGAGAAAATGCTGCTACCAAGAAGCTGTGCTTACCTCTGTTCTTTTGTGTCTAGAATCCCTTCTGAAGCTCTCAGGCTTTATGTGGTTGTAGTTGTCCATGTTGGCACTCCGTTTGGACACTGCTCTTTTGTTTCCTGGCCACCTAGACCCAAATAATCACACAGAAACTATATTAATTATAACACTGTTTGGCCTATTAGCTCAGGCTTCTTATTGGCTAGCTCTTATATCTTAAAATAACCCATTTCTGTTATTCTGTGTATCGCCACTAGGCTGTGGCTTACTGGGTAAAGTTCTGGTGACTCGCTCCTTTGGCAGCTACATGGTGTCTCTCTGACTCCGCCTACTTTCTCTATATATCTCTGTTCAGATTTCCTGCCTGACTTTGTTCTGCTAAGTCATTGGCCAAAATAGCTTTATTCATCAACCAATAAAAGCAACGTGCATATACAGAAGACCATCCAACATCAGTGCCCAAGCCCTTTCTTGCTCTCATCCTGCTACCACCTCCTTGGCTGTCCACAGTCACCCCTATGGGGCTCAGTTCTGGGTGTGGCCTTCACTAAAGCTTGTTCCTGTCTCCTCCAGGCTACGCAGCAGATGGAATAACATTGGGGCTTCCCTGGCCACCCACTCCAACCTTGGTCACCGAATGATCTGCTCTGGTTAAATCCTCCTAAGTCAGCCAGGGTCGTGATGACCTGTGACCTTCAGGGAGGGGAGTAGGCCGAGGCTGATCTCATCGCTCCCTCCAGTTCATACCCGCAGGGGTGTCCCTTCCCAAGATAAAGCCACTGTACCTTACTGTATGTGCTTGGGAGCTCTTGACGTCTGGGAGCATGGGTGGTGCTGAAACTCACCCCATCTTGAATCCTTTCTGGAGTAATCCATTGGAAATCAATAAACATGAAGCTTGGGCTGTTGCTACATTTCCTTATTTATTGCAGTGCTGGGGGTTGAACTAGGATTAAATGTGCCACCACACGTGACTTGATTTAAACAGGGTGCTTCTTTATTCTCTCATACAGTACATTCCAACTGCAGCCTCCACTCCCTCCTCTCCCAGGTGCCCATCACGACCACCTCCCCTCTCCTTCAGATCCACTGCCCCTGCATTTCCCTTCAGAAATGAGCAGGCCTCCTAGTGATATCAAGCTAAGCTAGCATGACAAGATGCAATAAGGGTAAGCACAAACCCTCCTATAAAGGCTTGGGCGAGGCAATCCAGCAGGAGGGAAAGGGTCCCATAAACATATGGCCAGCACCTGCCCAGAGTCTCAGGAACAGGTGGACCTCCCTTGCCTGTCTCTGAGCCAGGAGGAAGATACCTCAGTCTGTGGGAAGGCAGTGTAGGTGAGGGTTGATGGTCTTGAAGCTTGGAGGAGTCTGTCAGGGTCCAGGGCTGCAGGAGTTTGAAGCTTTTGTGTGGCGATACTCTGGGCTTGGGGCTTCCCATTACTAAGACTGACTGTGTGCCTGTCTGGCCCACTGTTGAGATGCCCCAGGAGGTGGTGCCTTCTCTGATGATGCTATCTGCTGATCAGCTGGGACTTGGCATTCTGAATGGCCTCAATGGTCCCAGTTTTGATATTGGGGGAGGTTCGTGCTCTGGGCTTTCTATATTGAGGGAGAGGTAAGTGTACCCTGGTGCAGGACCTCTGCCTCCCTCTTCAGCCTCCAGCAAACTGACTACATGCACAGGTGCCCCTCGCCTGGGGCACTGGGCAGATTTCGGCACTGTTAAACTCTGGAAAACTACTATTAGTGTTAACCATGAGTCCTTGGCCTTAGTACATCTTCTGATGTTCGTGTTCCTATAATTTCCCTAATTGACTCCCTAATTGGCAGCTATGGGGCTCTCCCTAGCTACCCTGGCTGCCTTGAGCAAAAGGAATGTCAGACAAACAGCCAGTTAGACTACTATCCTTGCACCAGCACTGGCTGTCTCGAACATTCTGTGGCTGTCTAGAGCAAACTCCAGGATGATCAACGTTGATTGCTCCAGGCTCCTGAAGGCTCGGCTTCAGTTAAGGGTGTTCGCAGCATTTACACCAGGCATTTTGCTGTTATCAACCTCTGGATTCTAGATGATCCTGCAATTGTTACTGCCCAGATCAAAGAAGGAGAGCTTCTTTTGGTGGCCTGGCAGAGGGATGCAGAGGACTGCAGTGATGGGTGCTAAGCAACAGGACGTGGGTGGAGGGGGGACTTGAGTGATGACTCAGTGCCTGAGAGCACTTGTGGCTCTTGCAGGAGACCTGGGTTTGGTTTCCATCATCCACACGGTGTCCAGGGGATCTAGTGCCCTCTTCTGACTTACATGGGCACAAGACAAGAACATGGCGAAATACACTCAAACACATGTAATAAAAATAAACACAAAAATGTTAAAAGAAAAGAGAAGCAGGCTGTGACTGGTGCAAGAACAAGCTGTCATTTGCATGGGAGGTGTGCTGTGATTGGTACACTTTCTTGCTCTATATAAGCAGGGTGTTCCACTCACTCAATGAATTGGCTGGAAGGTTCAGTCTTGTGCTATTTGCCTTAGTGTTACTACATGAGGCCCAATAAGAGGCTTCTCTTGGTGTCTTATCTTGCTCACTGTGAGCAGTGCAGGCTGAGCTGAAAGCGAAGAGAAAGTGGCAGGAATACTGGGGCAAAGGCAGAGGTGTGGCAGCCTGAGCTGCAGAAGCAGAGGGGCTGAGGCTGCTTGACAACTCTAACTTCAGCTAAAACACGAGAAACAGGAGGGAAGGGTCTAGCAGTAGCTGCCTCTCAAAGGGCAGCATGGGCGGCAGCAGTCAGCCGCACGGCTGCTGGGGAGGCCCTGGGAAGAGTAGTGAACCTTTGGCTGAAGGAGAGAAGACTGTAAGGAGGTGGACAAGAGAAACCGGAGGAGGAGTTCCAGAAAGCTGACAAGCCTTAGGCCAGGGATTTCAGACACCCCAGGCCTAGGAGCTGGAAAACCGGCCTTTGTCAAAGGTGGAGGAGTCCGGGACTGGAATGCCTAACCAGAAGCTGCAAGTAAGCAAGAGCTAACACTAGAGGGCGCCACTAGTCCACACAGCTCCCTGCTGTCAAATTCGGAGGACTATAGCGCTCTGCCGCTTCTTGATTTCTCTCAATTTCTGTCCATTTCTACCCCTAGAGCCAAAGGACCCAAGTCAGTGAATTGGTAACAGCGTGTCATCCTCAGAGCATGGATCCAGGTCTCTTGCTTCTGTTGTTCACCTTCTAGTCCTTGGGGTCATCACTGGGGATAGGTGGATAGACTGGGTCACAGAGTAGCCAGCTTTGAAATCCTTTAGATGTGCTCAGCCCTCCCATGGTGCTGAAGGGTATCCATGGCAACATGGGCGGGGCTATGACACTGGAAGAGTGGAGTAGGCAAGGAGAATCCCCTTCTGGCTCTCATCCACCCACCCTAACCCTAACCTAATTATCTAAAGATCACCAGTCTCACTGCTCTGAGTTGGCACTGAAAACTTGGAAGCACTACACTGTTTAAAGTTGGATTGGGCTGGATGTGGTGGCGCACGCCTTTAACGCCAGCACTTGGGAAGCAGAGGCAGGCGGATCTACAAAAGGGCATTCCAGACCAGTCAGGGCTACACAGTGAGACCTTGTCTGAAAGACAAACAAATAAGCAACAACAACAAAACCAAGATGATTTGGGCCACACCGCAAGAAGCAATTATAGTTCCTAGTTATAGATTCTGGGAACCAGAAGGGAGGCCCTGTCTGAAGAAAAATAAAGAAACTGAGGTACGTAGCTGACCAGAGCAAAAGCAAGTGCTTTTCACTGCTGCCGACTTCCGTCCTCTGATGACTGAAAGCCAAGTGGGGGCTGGGATCTTGTTTTTTTTGTTTTTTGAGACAGGGTTTCTCTGTGTAGCCTTGACTGTCCTGGAACTCACTCTGCTGACCAGGCTGGCCTCGAACTCAAAGAGATCCACCTGCCTCTGTTTCTTGTGTGTTGGGATTAAAGGCCTGCACCACCATAGCAGGCTAGGGTTCTCTTTTAATAAAGTAGGAAAGGAAGGTTCAGGGGGCTGAATCTCTGTCAAGGTCACCTATGGGAAAGGGGCAGAGAAAGCTCCTAGATCCCTTACATTGTCAGCATTGTCTCTCACTGTCTCCAGAGTGGGCTCTTGCCTGGCCTCCTTTCCCACCAGGGTGAACTAAAGAGAACTCTCTAGGGCTGGGTGAATGGGGTGGGTCTCTCTTAAGGGCTCCTCCCTGGGATGGAGCCATATCCGGCCTCCAAAGTGGAAAAACCCCACACAAATCAAGGACATCTGGGCCCACCCTCTGGTCACAGCCCCTCCCCATCATTCCCTTTCAGGCTTGGGCTCTGCAGGCTGCAGGATGGGTCTGGGGGTGAAGGGTGTGGTTTGAAGGGAGGAGGTCTTGGGGCTCTCACATGTGTTTAATGCCCCCAGCAGTCCCCCATGGAGGGAGAGACTGAGCAGTGTTATTAATCATCTTCCAGAGAGGGGCAGCCCTGCTGGCCTGTTCTGCTGCTGTGGGGGCCCAGACTAGGGGGTCCCCACTGCTGCTGTGGGGGCCCAGACTAGGGGTACCCACTGTGAAGAGGGGACAGACTGCAAAAGAGGCTGAAAAATCAGACAGAAAGACTCACACAGTCACACTGAAAGCACGGACTAGTGTACATCATGCTTAGGTTTGGAGCTAAAGGGGTCCTGATGATGCTCATTTCTGCCTTTTGGAACTGATTGTGAAGTCCAGATAAACGGGGGTCAAAATCACCTATAAACCGCGGTGGTGGTGCACATCTTTAATCCCAGCACTTGCAGCACTTGGGAGGCAGAGGCAGCTGGATCTCTGTGAGTTCGAGGCCAGCCTGGTCTACAAGAGCTAGTTCCAGGACAGACTCCAAAGTCACAGTGAAACCCTGTCTTAAAAAACCAAAAAAAAACCAAAAAAAAAAACCCCAAAAAAAAACCCTCAAAAAAAAACCCCAACCCCCCAAAAACAAACAAACAAACAAACAAAACAAACCCCAAAACTTTGGTAGGACACTTGGCTAACATGGGCAAAGCCCTGAAAAACAAATCACACACAAAGAACTAATTAGTCTCTGATGGGCGCATAGGCAGAGGTAGCTGGCTGGCATTTCCATCTGTCCATGGCTGCCCTGGTCAGCTTTCTTCCCCAGGGGCATGCTCACGGGCCTGCATCCTAGGCCTCTCCCTTCCATCCTCAACACCAAGCAGAACTACCCACACGCTGGCTGGCCCATGTCTCAGAGACTACCTACCATCTGCCTGGCTGTCCTGCCTTGACAAAATCAGTGAACCATGGGTTCCCTCCAGCTTGGGTTATGTAGGAACTCTGTCACACCCTGAGCATTTTTTTTTTTGAGACAGGGTTTCATGTAATCCATGATAACTTCAGATTCACTACGTACCTGCGGATGACCTTGGACTCCCAATTATTCCGCTTTATTTCTTTTAAATATTCATTTCTATCAATAAATCCTCAGAACTGCTCCAGAAGGAGAGTCTGCCATTATCTCCATTAAAAAAAGAAAAGATCTATTTATATTTAGGTGGTGTGTGTGTGTAAGTACAGGCTACCCTCAGCATAAAGCCAGTCACACTGAACCTTATAGGAGAGAAAGTGGGAAGCACACTTGAACACATTGGCACAGGAGACCACTTTCTAAATATAACCCCAGCAGCACAGCCACTGAGAGAAACAATTAATAAACGGGACCTCCTGAAACTGAAAAGCTTCTGTAAAGCAAAGGATACAGTCAAGACAAAACGACAGCCTACAGAATGGAAAAAGATCTTCACTAACCCCACATCAGACAGAGGTCTGATCTCCAAAATATACAAAGAACTCAAGGAATTGGCCACCAAAAAAATCACATAATCCAATAAAGAAATGGAATACAGACCCAAAAAGAGAACTCTCAACAAAGGAATCTAAAATGGCTGAAAGACACTTAAGGAAATGTTTAACATCCTTAGTCATCAGAGAAATGCAAATCAAAACAACCTGTACACCTGTAAGAATGGCCAAGATCAAAAACACTGATGACAACTTATGCTGGAGAGGTTGTGGGGAAAAGGGAACACTTCTGCATTGCTGGTGGGAATGCAAGCTGGTACAACCTCTTTGGATGTTAGTGTGGCGATTTCTCAGAAAATTAGGAAACAACCTTCCTCAAGACCCAGTAATACCACTTTTGGGTATATATTCAAAGGATGCTCAATCATGCCACAAGGACATGTGCTCAACTATGTTCATAGCAGCTTTGTTTGTCATAGCCAGAACCTGGAAACATCCTAAATGCCCCTTGCCCAAAGAATGGATAAGGAAAATGTGGTACATTTACACAATGGAGTACTGCACAACAGAAAAAAATAACATCTTGAATTTTGCAGGAAAATGGATGGAGCTAGAAAACATTATTTTGAGTGAGGTAACCCAGACCCAGAAAGACAATTATCACATGTACTCATTCACAGGCAGTTTTTAAACACAAAGCAAAGAAAGCCAGCCTACAAACCACAATCCCAGAGAACTTAGACAACAATGAGGACACTAAGAGAGACTTACATAGATCTAATCTACGTGGGAAGTATAAAGTAGAAAAAGACAAGATCTCCTGAGAAAATTGGGAGCATGGGGACCTTGGGGGAGGGGGGAGGGCTGAAGGGGGGGAGAGGATAAGCAAAGAGGGGAGCATAGAAAAATGTAGAGCTCAATAAATATCAATTTAAAAAAAGTATAGGCTACTTGTGTGGGTGAGGGCCTATGGAGGCCACAAGAGGGGCATAGAGTCTCCTGGAGCTGGAGTTACAGTAGTAATGAGCCTCCCAGTGTGGGCACTGGGAACGGAATTTGGGTCCTCTGGAAGAGCAGTGAGCACTCTCAGCCACTGAGCCACCTCCCATTATCGCCACTCTTTTTGGGGGGACAGGGTTTCTCTGTGTAGCCCTGGTTGTCCTGAATCTCACTCTGTAGACCAGACTGACTTTGAACTCAGAGATTCACCTGACTCTGCCTCTTGAGTGTTGGGATTAAAGGCGTGCCTCTGTTCCCCAGCTTAAGAAAGTTTTTCAAAATGAGGTTCTTTGGAGCTAGAGAAATGGCTCATTAGTTAAGAGTGTATAATTGCCTTTGCAGAGGACCTTAATCCAGGTCCTAGAACCCATGTCAGGGAGCTCACAACTGCCTTTAACTTCAGCTCCAGAGGAACGCAATGCCTCCGGCCTCCTTGGGCACTGGTACACACATAGATTCACATACAGGTCCACACACATACACGGAATTAAAATGATAAATCTTTAAAAAGAAAGAAAAAATAAATAGGAGGCTCTTCCCAGAGTATTAAGTGGAGTTACCTTAAGATCTAGAAATTCCCCTCCAAAGCAAAATCCCAAGACCTTGCAGATGGATGTTCCTAGTAGCGATAATAGTGATAATGAGAAAGTGGACATTATCCACAGGTTCTCCAGTGGTTGAAGGGAGACAGGGAGCTTCCTGTATGAAGTTCCCACATGAAGGAACTAAAAGACACTGCAGGAATGGAGCCTCAGTGTGCAGCACAATGGAAGAGCCTGCGAGAAGACAGAGACAAACTGACAGTCAGCGATGAGTCGATTTCTAGGAAATAGGCCCGCAAGTCCAGAGAGGCAAAAGTGCCTTGGTGCCTTGCCACCAGGCACATCTGGGGAGAGATAACACGGAATGACTGCTAACGGGTCTAGGGTTCCTTTTGAGAGCGATAAAAATGTTCAAAACTGGATAGAAGTGAGAGTTGATCAGTGGTTAAGAGCACTGACTACAGCCAGGCGGTGGTGGCGCACACCTTTAAACCCAGCGCCCTGGAGGCAGAGGCAGGTGGACCTCTGAGTTTGAGGCCAGTCTGGTCTCTAAGGCTACACAAAGAAATCTGGTCTTGTGAAATAAATAACCCCTCTCAACTCCCCCAAAAGATAATGACTGATTTTCCAGAGGACTTGAGCTTAATTTCTGGCACCCACATAGTATCTCAGAACTGTTTGTAACTCTAGTCCCAGGGAACCAGACTGACCTCAAGCACCAGGCATATGCAGTATGCATACAAACATGCAGGCAAAAACACTCATGCAGTTAAAATAGAATAAAACTTAAAATTGATGATAGTCATGATTGCACAGCATATGAAAATTCTGGAAGTCAGTGACCTCTGGCTTTGGATAGTATGTGACTTGTACCTCAATAAAGCTGTTTCCCCAAAGACCCTGAGTCAGGATCTTGGTTTCCTTTCTACAAGGAAGGAATGAAAACTTGGAGGTAGCCAGAGTCTGTGGCCACAAGGCTAGAGGAAGGGACCTTAAGCCCCTCACCTACTTCTCTAAAGGATGAGTTTGCATGGCCACTTCTGATCTCCTTCAGATGTATTCTGCTGTGGAGCCTGTATACCAACCACCACCTCACTCTCTCTTCTGCCTGGATTGTATTTACTTCCTTGCCTGGCCCTCACCCCCGGAGAGCCTTCCCTAACTCCTCACTAATCAGCATTTATTAAGTACTCATTGCACGCTAGGATCCACGTTAGGTGCTTGGGAGACCTTGGCCATTCGTGTCACCCTGGATATTCCCAGATTTGTACCCATTTCCACCAAGAGAGCCAGAGAGAAAGTAGAGAAAGGGGGTCAGCTTCCAAACGCTCAACTCATCTCGCTGTTGGGCCAATGTCTCCTGGGAGGTCTTCAGCCCTGTGGAAAAGGCACCCTGCAGAGGAAACAGGGAACCAAGGGCAGGAGGTGGGAACTTAGCCAGTGTTGGGAAGATGGAGCGTTACTAGGGAATACATTTGGGAATGAGTGTAGGGATTTAGAGTCCCAAGTGGTGACAGTTCGGACTGTGTTGGTGCGATAATGCAGTGTGGGACCTCCCTAGGAGGGCTCTGGGGAGAACCAGCATGTTTGCAACAAATCCCATTTACAGCTAGACCTGAAGAAGAACTTCCTGGGATCTTGCATGTACTGACATGCTTCCCAGACAGTGCTGGGCTAAAAACCCGCCCACAGGACTGCTGGCACCAGCTTGCCCTGACAAGCAAATGTAGCCTGGTGTCTGGTACTGGATTTGGGTGACTCCTTGGACCCAGCAGCCCTGGGTGTGGGAACTAAATGTCTGTGGGTCATTTGAAGTTCTCTGCCCCCTCAGAGACAGCCCACAGTGATGAGAAACTTTCAGATGCCTTGAGATCCAGTGACAGAACCTAGGGCAGAGGCTGGGGAACGGGGCTGAGGTTCTATGGTGGGGTCAGGGACTGGAACCTAGCAGCCAGGAAAGTTGAACCAAGGCAGAAAGAAGCCCTAGGCAAAGTTACCCTTCCCCTAGGTTGGGATGGCTTATTCGCCCTCCTTGAGTCGCCTTTCCCCTCCGCCTTCCTAGCAAGCACCTGGCGAGCCTGGAACAGGAGATGGGGGAGAACAGTGTCCTCGACTGGCAAGTTCCACACATGTAGGGGTCCCGGGGACCTCTCCATCCTTAGAGGAAGCTCCACAGACCGAAGTTAGGTGCCTGCCTTCTCTGCCTCCTAGTACAGGTCTCTCCAATGTTCTGTGGGAGCCACTTTGCAATTTCGGGGATCACCGACATCTTGCGGAGGCCAGCTCTATCTGCCACCTGGACTCTAAAATGATCACCAGACCATTCGATAAGGTTTTTCCACGGAGCAGGGCTCCCACTCTAGTGGATGGCGAGATGGACTGTTGGCAAGAAGTGAGCGTTCCTGCCACAAGCTCAGGATTGGGGACCCCCCTCTGCGCGGGATGCCAGTCCGGCTTCATCCTCCCTGCACAGGCGGACTCCTGGACCCCCGGAATCGGCCGACTAGTCCAGCGATGAGGCTCCGGCTTCAGGAAACCAGGGATGAGACCTCACACCTGTCGCCCTGGATCTCTCATTCGCCAAGTCCTCGTCGCTGCTTTGTGTCCCTCCCTGCCACCGCAATCCCGTAGTCTAAGAGCGAAGACTTTGGAGTCAAGTGAGCCGGAGACCAGATTAACAGTGGCCCGAATGGCTTCCAGTGGAACTCGAAGTTAGCTGGAGTCTGCGAGTTCCAGGCGTGGCCTGAGCTCGGGACAGGGAGGGGCATCTCGGCCCCGCCCCGCCCCCCATCCTCCTTCAGCTCCGGGGCGGCTGGACTGCCGAGCTCAACCCAGAAGCCCGGAGCCCTCGGGCTGAGCGTGCGATAGCCGGGATGCGCTCCTGTCTGCTATCCCCGCTCCCAGACCTGGGCGCTGAGAGACCCGATGGCAGGTAGCGGCGGTCTAGGCGGGGGAGCTGGGGACCTCCAGAGCGCCGGGCCCGGGCAGGGGGCTGCACTGCGTGCTCCCCGTGCTCCGCTGACGTTCGTAGCTCTGCTGCTAGGCGCCTACTGCCTTTTTGCCCTCCCGGGCCGCTGTCCACCTGTCACCCGTGCCCCTGCACCGGTTCCCGCGCCCGCCGAGCCGCACCACTCCTCCCGCAGTCTGGGAGCGCCAGGTCTGCCGGTGGCCAGCGGACCGGGTCGCCGGCGCTTCCCACAGGCGCTCATCGTGGGTGTGAAGAAAGGCGGCACGCGCGCGTTGCTGGAGTTCCTGCGGTTGCACCCCGACGTCCGTGCACTTGGCTCTGAACCCCACTTCTTCGACAGGTGCTACGAACGCGGGCTCGCCTGGTACCGGTGAGCGCCCCTGCTGGTCTGCCCCTTCGGCGTTTGTGTGCGCCACGGACTGCTTTTAGCTCAGGGGCATCGTGCGATCCTGGAACCCAGGACAAATAGGGTCTGAAATAAGCCTGTTAGAGAAACAAACTTGACCTCGTGGATGAGGCCCCCAAAGAAAGGCCTTTTATAGCCAAGGGCTCCAGGGATTAGAAAACCTCAGGGAAAACCCCGTTCTCCTGTTGGGTGGGCTGAGGGACTCGGCAAGGTGTGATCTTAGTTGGAAAGTATTTTCAAGCCAGTGAGATAACTGGGCAGGTAGACTTTCCTTTTTAAAGGATCGGGTACTGGGGACTGAACCTGGAGCCTCATATGTACTAAACAAGTATTCCACCACTAAACTATTAATATATACCAATATATTATTATGGAGTATATTAATATAACCCCAGTGGGATTATTTGGGAGCCTTAGAAATACTTGGAGCTTAGGTAACTTATCATCCCTTCATGCCCGCCCCCCAATTATAAGACTGAGTAAGTATGGGTGATTAATTATCTGACCACTAGTCAAGTATATTAGAAAGGGTCTCCAGGTTTCTAGATGCTCTCTAGAAAGTTCCTACCCCCGCGAACCTCTCCCCACCCTCCATCAGGTGAGCCTTTCTTGACTGCTGGAATCTGGAGAAAGTTAGGTTTGGTCTTTGGAGAGGGAGACCCTGCCCTTCAGTACAGCCCAAGGGTGTGGATTGGAATATTGGCATACAGCTTCCTGCAGCTGTCCTCTCTCCACCCAGGACAGACTTGGGGTGCAGCAGTGGAATGTGGGGAGCACCGCCCCAGCCGTAGGTCCTGGTGGATGGTCAGCCCCTCCCCTGCTGAGTTTGGTATTAGAAGCTGAAGGCAGGCCCCACCCACTGCCTCCTGCAGCTGTTCAGGCCTCTAGGTACCCTGTCCCTTCCTGTGGGGAAATGGAGGTTCACAGATTGGCTTGCCTCATCTGCAAGTCTGTGCTGAGTTAAGGTCACCTGCGAGGGTGGCAGGACCCCAGGCACACCAGCTCCTGTTTCCCAGGTCCTTCCTTCCGTTTGTTAACTCGTATTGAGCCTGGTGGATTTGGGAGATAACAAGCTCCCGGCTCTGCAGGGTTGTACTACCTGAGGAGAGGCTCTTGGAAACATGGATGTTCCCAGCATGGTCGTAGTGAGTGTGAGGACAGCGTACCGTATTTGTAGAGTCCATCTGGAAGCTTAGGATGCTGGGGAGGAGTGGAACCCATGGCTTCATCCCATTAATCAGAAGCGTGGAGTGAGCCAGTAGCCCTGGTGGGCTCCGGGAAGGTGCAGCTTTAGCGTTTTCACCTGGCTGTAGCCACAAGGGCTGCTGTCCTCTCTAGTAACCGCTCCTCGGGTAGTGTTCTCATGTATACACCGAGCCTCTGAGAATGACCACCTCTGACTCAGTATCTCCAGTCACAGGATCTGGGCTGAGCCCCCAGAACCTGCAGAACTCCGTCCGGGTATGGGTTGAGGGAAAGGAGCAGCCACTGGTGAGGTTTTGGAATACTGCTCGCACTGGGCAGTGACCTGACCAGCCCCTGAACTCAGCAGAGGGGTCCTGGGTTGCCTTTCTCCCACCCATCCTCCTCCCTGCTTCTCCATTAGATCATTTCTTTGACTTTGTTGTTGTTTTGGGGTCTCTTGTAGCTCAGGTTGGCCTCAAATTCCCTGTGTGGCCAAGGATAATGTTGAACTTCTTGCCTATACCTCATGAGTGCAGGGGATGATTAATGGGATCTCTAGTATAGGTACCACTATGGTGTGTGTGTGTGTGTATACATGTGTATGTATGTGTGTGTGTGTGTGTGTGTGTGTGTGTGTGTGTGTGTGAGAGAGAGAGAGAGAGAGAGAGAGAGAGAGAGAGTATGCTGCTATGAGCATGTAGGTCAGAGGCTAACTCAGGAATCTTCTCTCCTCCCACTCCCAATCTCGGGATTGAATTTAGTCACCAGGTTTGCACAGCAAATGTCCTTACTTGCTGAGCCATGTCATCAAACCAAGGGGACTTAGTTTGTTTATTTTTTTGAGGCAGGGTCCCATTTCTGCAGTTCTGCCTGGCCTGGAACTTGCTGTGCAGACCAGGTCAGCTGCAAATTCAAAGAGTTCCAGGCACAGGCCACCACGCCCAGCCTGTGGCTGGTTTGTGTGCAGTTCTAAGAGCTGAACTCAGGACCTGGGCACATTAGGCAAATACTGTCAACTGAATTACATTCCGAGCTTCTGAGGCTTTTCAGGGTCTTTTCTCTTGGGGGCCATGGCCCCTGATCACTCTCAAAACCATGCAGCATTTACTAGCCCACTCTCCCTCACTTATTGAAAACTTGGGGTGTCAGTCAGTGATATTTTCTGAAAAAGCAAGAAAGGGTAAGGAGGGGTACAGGTAGGGGAATCCCTGTAGCTCCTGGGGTTTAAGATCAGGCCATAGGTGGGTGTGTGCCTGGGTATGCAGGGGAAGGAGCTGAGCCTTCTTCCCCCTCCCCCCACCCAAGCCCCGGTGGGTGGGGACTTGGTTCCTTAGCACTCTCTGACACTGGGATAAGGTCCCCTTGGAACTGACCCAAATGAGGTGTGGGATACAGTGGTGGTTCTGGAGGGGCTGGGCAAGCAGGGGGCGTGGTCTCAGGCTGGCTGGGAGCCACGGAGGAATGCAGACCAGATGGGGTGAGTGCAACAGGAGGGAGGGAAGGTTTATGGGGCAACTTGACAGAACTCTGCTCTGCTCATCTCACCTTCCAAACACACTGCTCTCTCTCTCCACGCTCACTCGCTCCTGAGGCTCGCGGAGGATCACCGATGCCTAAGATGTCAGGTTGCAGAAGGGCTTGGAACTGGTTCTCAGACCTTAAAGTTGTAGCCTAAGTCTCACTGAACTTTCCCTGGCAGTATGTGGATCCTGATTGTACAAGACAGAGTACTGGGGACAGGGGCTGTGGGAACAGAAACCCCATGGAATCCAAGGTGGGCCGGGAGGAGGCCTGAGGCCTCTTGTTTCCCCCTCAATCCTTCCCATTCCTTCTCAGTCTTAAGATTCCTTCCTATCAAATGGGGGAGTTTCCCGGTTCACCGTGTCACCCATGAGGAGGACCGAGACACAAATCCTTATAACTTCTACAGACCAGCTTTGCCTGGATCCTTGCTCTGCAGGGTTTCCCACATGTCACTCACCTCTCTCGGCTTTGGTCATGGATGATGTCAGGAGCCTGGTACTGCTGGGGGTCTCTCTCTCTTTCTCTCCTCTCTTTCTCCAACAAGATCTTGTGTAGTTTAGCCTGTTTTCAGACTCTCTATCCTATCTGCCTCAGTTCCCAGAGTCCTAGGATAATAGACATGTACCACCATATCTAGGCCTGATCTCATTTTTGCGTGGTCTAATGGGGTAGATGCACATATCCCTTGTCCATTATCAGCACCCCCAAACCAAGCACCCCAGCATGGCGCCTGTGCATTGCCTGTATTTGCTTGGGAGCCTGAACAGAGAGAAGAGAATGAAGACCAGTAAAGAAGGGCTTAGTCCAGTGTGTCAACTTGGCCAGAGTGGGCCCTAGGGGTGGTCAGTGAGGGGTGGACAGTGTCCCTAAGAGGATGGGGGTCACGACTGGACAGGTGTCTCTCTTTCTAAGCCCCACTGCCTCTGCCTCTGTTGACCCAGTTCTTGGCTTTTCTTTGGAGCTGTTTGCTTAACTTACCTGCCCCACCCTGCCCTACCTCACTGTGTACTAACTGGCTGGTGGGTGCAGCCCGAGGACACCTCTCAGGGTGCCTGGGCCTGCCTGGGCTCTGTACGGACTCCCCTCAGTTTCAGGCTTGGCTCTAGTCTGCCGACTTTCTCTGAATATTTGGATCAGGCCAACACTCTTCTCCAGAATGAAGGGAATTTCAGAAACGCTGCCTCTTGGCATCCTAAGGCTACTACAGGACTTGGGGCCTGATCCCCAGGTGGATCAGAGCCACATCCCTGACTTTCTTAAGGGTGCTAGACTCTGCTGGTGACTGTTTGGTGTTCTTCACTGGGCCTAGAGAGACAACTGAAGGTCAAGAGGGGGATGTAATTGAATTTAGGGGAGGGAGGGAGGAAGGAAGGGAGGCCAGACTTTGGTAGCTGCATTTGTCGGTAATAATCGATGACCTAGTTAATGGTCAATGATTACAGTAAAGAGGCCTGGAGGGTCTGTGCTGACCAGCCTCGGGGCGCCTGGTCAAGGATGGGCAGAGCAGCTTTGGAAGGGGTGGGTCTTTGGTGTGGGACTGGCTTGGACTCTGTGGAGGTGGTACTTCGGGGAGAAGGGTCATACAACTTGAAGAATGTTTTGGTGACCATCGACCCCCGGGGCCATCACTTTTTTTACCCTAGAGCGGTACTGACTAGGGTAGCCCTGGCTTTGGGCTCCACTGCAGGCCCACACTGAGTTAGGCATCCCAGCACTTCAGAAGGGTGACTCTTAGAGGGGAGAAGGATAGCCCACCTTAGCCTGGGCTTCTCTCAGAGGAGGAGAGGTTAATTCCTGGTCCCCGAGGGCTGAGCTAGCTGGGAAGGGAGATAATCGGCCTTGGAAGAAGTGTACGCTGTGATCGCTCAGATACTCTTCTGCCATTCCACAGGGGTCTGATGCCACGTACCCTGGATGGGCAGATCACCATGGAGAAAACCCCCAGCTACTTTGTGACTCGGGAGGCTCCCCGCCGGATCCATAGCATGTCCCCAGACACCAAGCTGATTGTGGTGGTGCGGAACCCTGTGACCCGGGCCATCTCTGATTATGCCCAGACACTCTCCAAGACCCCAGGCCTGCCTAGCTTCCGGGCCCTGGCCTTCCGCCGTGGCCTGGGTCCTGTGGACACAGCCTGGAGCGCTGTGCGTATTGGCCTCTATGCCCAGCACTTGGACAACTGGCTTCGATACTTCCCTCTGTCCCACTTCCTGTTTGTCAGTGGAGAGCGCCTGGTCACTGATCCAGCTGGCGAAGTGGGCCGGGTACAGGACTTCCTGGGCCTCAAGCGGGTGGTCACTGACAAGCACTTCTACTTCAATGCTACCAAGGGCTTCCCCTGCCTCAAAAAGGCCCAGGGCAGTGGTCGCCCCCGCTGCCTGGGTAAATCCAAGGGCCGGCCTCACCCCCGAGTGCCGGAGGCTGTGGTTCAGCGCCTGCGGGCTTTCTACCGGCCCTTCAACCGCAAGTTCTACCAGATGACTGGCCAGGACTTTGGCTGGGACTGATGAAGGCCCAGTTCAGCCTTTCTCTGGACGCCCAGTAACTTTAATTTATGTTTGTGTGCCTGGCCGTAGCAGGCGCTACACATGCTGTGTTGAGAAAATATTTAAGAAATAAAGCCCAGATCTGTTTTCTTCCATTTGGGCTTGACGTTGGGGGTGGGAGTGGTATCCATGGACCTAACTCTGTTAGACACTGATTGAATGGCATCGTGCCCTGGGAGGTAATCAGTGTCCTCGGTCACACGTCCCAGATGAACAAGTGAGCCTAGCGAGGTTGAGCACCTGCCCAGTGACACACAGGTGGCTCTGGAGGCTGACCACAGCAACTCTTTTCAGCCCTAGGAGGCTGAGGAGGGTTGCTCCTATGTCTAAGTTGGAAACAGGCTTCAGGCTCCTGAGCGGCAGAGCAAGACAAAGCTGGTTTGACCAACTGTGTGTGCCGTATCCACCGCTTCATGTGGTCCTTAGCCCCACCTGGGAGCCTAATGGTGTGGCTGGGTAGTGAGCAGCCGGTGAGCAAGTCCTTCTAGCAGCTACCGTGTGGTTCCAGTGCAGCCCTACCCACGCTCTGTCTCTGCCCACTGGTCACCACTCCCACAATGCCGTGCCTGCTCTCCAGATCTGCTGCCTCTATCCTGTACACACCTCAGCAGGGCAGAGCAGGAACCAATGCCCATCAGCAGCCCTTGCTCATTCCTAGCCAAAAGAGGCTGGATGTGAGCAGGCCAGGTATTCTCCCACACCCCAGATGCCCAGCTGTCTTAATAATGACCTCAGGGACCACTTAAGCCACATCATACCTGTACTGTCCCAGGCCTACCTAAGGGCCTGGCTGTGGCCTTTGCATCTGGGACTCCTTGGGTCTCAGGGCCTGTCCTTGGCTGTGATATGGCTTTTCCTGCTCAGAGATACTTAGGGAGAAAAAGATTTTCTGGGGATGAGGATTGTCTGTCAGCCTCACCTGAGTGTTCCCTGTGAGACAAAGGTCCTGCAGATCACATGACCCCATCGGCAGTGTGGACACAGAGTCTATTAATGTCTCTGCCAAGAAGAGGCTCAGGGCTGCAGGGCCTTGCCTTCACTCCAGTGCTTCTGAGCTCACACTCCTGGCTGGGGCTGCCCTGAGGGGCTGGTGCTTTCTCCAGCTGTGTTGCCCTGGGCCAGGATAGTGGGGATGAGAGCTACCATGGCAATGTGCCGGGCAGGTGTTGGTCCAGATGCAGATGAGAGGAATGTACAGTCTCTTCCGGACACAGGCTGACGTGGGTGAAGGGAGCTATAGTCCACACCTGGCCCTGGTATATGGGACCTAATGAGATTGGTGACTGTCTTTATTTCCTGGGCCAGAGGTAGGAAGGATGGCAGAAAACCCCTTAGCTCCTGGGTCAGTTGCCAGTCCATTGCACACACATCTGTCTTCTCCCTGGACAGTCCCAGGACCCTCACCGTCACCCTGATCCACTATTGTCCTTTACTGGAACGGTGTCTTCAGAAGATCCCATTATTTTAAACTGTTCTCATTCCCAGCCCCGCCCCATTACTTATAGAGTTCTAGGATGAGGCCTAGGGGCTCACTTGCAGATGTTCAGCTCTCCAGCACAGCACCCCAGTCCCCCCTTATTTTTGTTGTCAAGATAGGGTCTCTCTGTGTAACCCTGGCTGTCCTAGAACTCACCTGTAGACCAGGCTGACCTCGAACTCACAGAGATCCACCTGCCTCTGCCTCTCGAGTGCTGGGATTAAAGGTGTACGCCACCACTGATAACTGTTAAAACCCTTTAGAGCCTCCTCAGCTCTCAGTTCCTGCCCTCCTGCCCCTGCCAGCATCAACTCTCTGTTATGCTTTTTTCTACCTTCCCAGGCTTTGGATCTACTGTTTTCTCGGCCCTGATGGCCTCTGTGCAGATGAATCAGATAGAAGCTGAGGGGCATGAGAGTCAGGGACAACCCTGAGCTAGGCAACTGTCCCCCAGTCTGGTTTTCCTGCTTCTCTCCCGATGTTTAGAGCTCTCTGAGGCCGCCGAGGTGAGTACTTTCCCCTCCGTGGAATTTTGTTGGGTGCAGTATGAGGAGGGCACTTGCTCGCCTGGGCCCAGGCTCTAAGGGCCGTTTCTAGATGCAGCGAGGAGAAAGCCGGACTGGTGTGTTCTGCTCACACCCGCCCAATGGAAACTTAGCCTGAGGGCCAACGCCCAGTGCGAGGTGCCCAGCTGGGCCTCAGAACACGTTGTGGGCAGATGTGGTGGGTCTTTCAGGCTGTGTGGAGGTGGAGCTCCTTGGGGGGAGTCATCAGCCTTTAATTAAAGTCCCTAAATTGCTTCCCCAGCTGCTCTGTGGGTTTTCCATGTTGGAATGTTCCAGATGGAGAGAGAAGTGCTGATTCAATTACCTTCTTCCTGTCTTGACCAGGGGAGAAGTGGCCTGAGATCCTTTCTCCAGCTCTCAGTTAGACAAGGAAGGAGTAGGAGGGGACAGGGCTGCCCAATGGGTCCAAGAATGGGTTTGGAGACACCTTGGGCTGAGGCTGCTTATATCTGTAGGAGCACCCTGCCCCCAGCTTCCCGGCCATACTTGGCAGGGGTTGCTAGGTGAGGCCAGTGTTCCTGACTTTGTGGTATTGTATACAGCAGGTACTGAGATCCTGAGCAGATGCTGGCCTTAGTGCCCAAGGTCAAGGTGGGGGAAGGGAGAGACAGCAGCTGGACCTACCTCTCTGTTGCCTGGATACACTTTCCTTACTTATCCTCAGATACCTACAAAACGCTGGCATCTTGTTCACCCTTTCCTTTGTCAGTCTCCTGGAAGGGCCATTACCATCTCACCCATTCTGAAGTGGGTCAGGTCAAGAAAGGATCTGGGAGCTCTCTGAACAGTGCAAGGCTGTGCTTGATGACCCCTCCCTCCTGCCAGTGAGGTGAGCCCGAGGTCTCTAGTTGTGGGTGGTCTCTCTTCAAAGGGCTGGGCCAGCCTCTGTGGTCAGGGCTTGCTTCCTCCCAAGGGCAGGGCAGGGCTAGGGAAGAAAGGAGGAGCCAAATCTGTGCCCCTTCCATCACTCAGGGAACATCTATGAGTCCCTGCATCCCAGGCTGAGGGCTGCTTTGGGGACTGGTCTTATTCTATTGGTCCCCACAGCTGACCTTCTAGCGGCCTATGGTGTACAAGTCTGGTCTAGAGGTCATCCTCGGAGGACCTGAGTGATTCAACCTCCCCACCTGTCCAGGATTATGCCCTAGTCAGGCTGCCCTGGGTGTTTGCTTCTGCCTGAGAGCTGCCAGGTTTCTAAGAAGTCTCTACAACACTTCACTCTACCAGGGTCAGAGTGAAGGCCTTTCCGGGACCAAAGTGAAGACCTTTCCGGGGCCAGCGTGAAGGCCTTTCTGGGGCTAGAGTGGAGGCCTTTCCGGGGCTAGAGTGGAGGCCTTTCCGGGATCAGCG